TCTTTTCCAAAGTGATCGATTCCACACTTTCACTGCTATGTGGAAACAACCAAAGCCGTTTGAGGTTGGCTTTGGAGGAGGACTTTGGATTTTTTCTTCCATGGATATTGCGGGAAGGTTCTTAAGTGTATGATGAAATACTCACAACGAAAGGAAAATCTCCAATGCGGGAAAACAAGCCTCCGGCGACTCTTCCACGGCATTCGCTTTTGGTCTTGCCTCTAATTCTACATTTTAGTTTACGAATATTGTTATTTTGTCTGATTTTCTTTGCAAGTGGGATCCCAATTAAATTATGATAATTTCTTGCAGTATCCAGTATCGAAGAAATATTGTACGCTCGTGGCTCGATTTTGTTGTAGTAACGTTGAATATTTTGATGTTTATCGGTGTGTAATGGAAGATTATCAGGTTTTATGTCTGCTTTTAATTTTTTTGCCACGTGCCTTGGTTCTTGATCCCATTTTTTATTACGTGTAATATTAAATTCCAGTTTCTCACTTCGAATCCTTTGCAGTTGCTTTGTGTTTATATTTCTTATTGAATACATTTTGGTTTCCGTTTTTATGTTAATATTTGAACTTGAAATAATGGTTTTCGATATCCTATCACTTTCCGAACATAAACCCACATGTCCTAAAGTCAAAGTTACTATTACTAAGGTATGGTAAATATATTTTCTCATTTTTTGTTTTGGTGCATTTTAATTCGTGTGATACTTAACTTACTATCACATAGTTTAAAGTTTCCTGTAACATATTTAATAAGGTATTAGATAAAATTTGTCTTTTTGTAAAACATATTAGGTAAACAATAAACCGTTTTCTGTTTATTAGAACAGTGTTGCAACTCAACATATCTGAAATTCAAGATTCTTAATTATTGAACGTAGTATTTGATTCTCTACACGCCAATAAAACCCATTAGAAAAACGTTCTGTGAGTTAGTTCTGGCCAAAACAGTCCTTATTAAAAAAATATGACATTATTGATTCACTTTTATTTTTAAATGTAGATACGTATAGAATGAATAATGCAAATAATACGTGACATATGTGGCTTGAAATACATCCTCGTATAGTGACTAGAATAGAGAAACCAGTGTTGAGGTGGTTTGGGCATGTAGAGCAGGTTGTACGGATGTAAGAAGAATTACCAAACAGATTTATGACGCGAATGTTGATGGAAGGGTTTTTAGTGGACGTACCAGTAGGACTTGTATTGATCAGATTAGCGGCGTCCTCAAAAAGGCTGGGATCCGAAGTGATAGATAGATAGATAACACGTTTATTCAGCACAAATATATATATACATATGGAACATTCATTGTTAATTTTATACACATTTATATAAAACACATTGCGAGAAAAACAAATACTGTGAGAAAAACAAACAAATACTATAAGAACTGATAAAATTTTAATGTACCTATGACTACAGTTTGTGCTGAAATGGCCCTGACTCAGCATAATTACTGTAGACTGAGAGAAGTCAAACAGTGCTGGTTTTCTGCCAGTACCATATGGTGAGCGATCGCAGCCCAGTAAGCCATGCCACCAAAGAGCATCACACGCAAATATATATACCTAACTCGAAATAGTATACATATATATATATATATCAAGCAAAAGTGTAAGATGTAAAGCAAATAATGTAAAATAGTGTAAGTAATGAAGGTAAGCAATATAAATAATAATGTAAGTTTACAAACATAATAATCAATTATATTAATAGTTATTGGCCCGCCCGAATTCGAAACAATTGATGGGTCTCGTCAATTGTTTGTTTAACTTGAGCGTTGCTATAATAGACGAAATTATAAATTTAATATTTAATTACCGATGAAATGTGATTCCGTTTGTTTTGTAATTAGATGTTTTGCTGTTCCGACACCACCGAATGGAACAACTCCCCTGGTTACAGATTACAATTATCTTTATTACAATAAATATAGAATATTTTTGGAATATACGGAGACGTACACACAGGTCAGTTGTTAGCGCTGTACTATTTCAGCTTTCCAATTCGTGATTTCAGCGCAAACGAGGGTTGATATTTAAAAGTGATACAAGACCCATATACCTGATGAGTAGCCAGGGCTGGATGGCCCCTATTTCGTTTCTATTTCTGGTTATATATTCGATGGATAACAAGTAACGTGTGAGATTTGTCAAAATTGTTTGCTATTGACATTTCATTTCGAATAAAACTTCATCTCGGCTGATATTAGAATTGAGGAGAAATTTGTTCTAACAAAACAGTTTATCTTTATGCTAGTTGTAATTTGCGGTTTTTGAACACATCATAGATTGTTTATGATATGTGTGTAGATAAAAAAATATTTGAATTCGAATACACTGATGTGATGTATATAAAAAATATTACCTATTCCGTTTGTAATGTAATAAACTGCTTTTTTTTAAAGAAAACTGAACCGCGTAAGAACACAAGTTTTATCGTTATGTGTCTTTAACTTAATGAAGTGCTTCTACTATGAGATTACAGAGTCGGTTATCGCTGAATAATTCGTCACACAAAATTATGAAGCCTTACGCGGAAGTCTTAAGATTTTACGCGATATCTAACGATAACTATCGCAATCAACTCGTGGTAGAGGCATAGTTGTTAATGCGTCATTCGTTATCAAATGAAGACATGATTTTTTAATTAATACATAAGTGCGATACACGAAATTTTTTAATGTTGTAGATTTATTTAATAGAGCTCGTAACCCTATTTCACTATGAATATAAAGTCGATAAAGTGCTTATGAGAAGAGTGATGGACGGAGACGAGCGATTCGTTCTGTGTACCGTCTAGGCTCTCGGGTATCTCTCAGAGAAAACTTTAAGGAGACTGGTATCATGACTGTGGCATCACAGTACGTTTACTCAAATATTTTATATGCCCGTAAAAACATACATAATTTCAATAAGAAAGAAGATATCCATAATATTAACCTTAGAGCTAAGTCAAAACTAATGGTACCACGATTTCGTTTGACCAAGGTAAACAACTCTTTTATGGGGAACTGTATACGTTTTTACACTAAGATTCCGGAGCATATATTAAGTTTATCATTTCCTAAGTTTAAAAACTACATTAAAAACATTTTGATCGAAAAGTCATATTACAAAATTGAAGACTACGAGTCAGATAAAGATGTATGGAAAGACGACATGGCTCCAGAATCTACACAAATTTGATTCAAAGTGTATTCCACAGCATTTAAGTTTATTTGAAAAGAGCAATCCCTGGAGTTTCTTGCTCGTTCCTCTCAGGGAGGTCAGCGTAGTGAACGAGCAGTAGCTTAAATGTGACGTTTTCAAGTGTAAATTTATTTTACCTATGGAATAAATAATCTTTGACTTTGACTTTGACTTTGAGCTAACATTTCGCGAGCATATTGAAACTATATGTAAAAAGCGTACAGAAATTTAGGGTTGATTTTTCGTAGGGTTCACGAGTTTCCGAGTATTAGTGCTAATATTGCATTGTAAGAAGCCTCCTTGTTGGGGTTGTCTGGGTTCCACATCAAACGCGATATAGTCCTATGCTGGAGCGCTTTCAAAACAAATTCCTGAGATATCTGTACTGGAGGCAATACGAGGTTTTATCCCTTACACCCCCTGATGTATCCTAATCTGTTCATTTTGGGTATGGTGGCATACAACGAGCTACGCGTGCGCAGGAACTTAGCGTTAACAGTGTTGAAGTTTATCAAAGTTATGCTATAGGCTTAAGTGTTCCTGATAGGTATGTTACGCGTCCCGTGGAAGGACAAATTTCATGACGGACGGACGGACTAACGCGAACGAAATATTGAATGGGATCGATCTGTTCCTTTGTTCTCTGAGTGAGTTCACAAAAATAGCGCTTTATATCTTGTGTTACATGTAGTAATTTTGCTGGTCTATTGCATTGGATGGATAACCTGTAATAATAGATTAAGTTTGGAAATAAATAAATAAAAAGTAAAATTTCTCTAACGAGAACTTTTACACTACACTGGCCGAATGCGGGTTGCGACATCACACGTCTTTCAGGGTTGCGAACCTACAGAACCGATTGTGAATTTTCATCACGACGTTTCATCGACAATACCTAGCCTACCAAATCTGACTAATGACATCACTATGAGGAAAAAGGGTAACCTATCGCAAACTCGAATTATTTTTTCCGAAATAAGGTTTGTTCGTATTTTCATTACCCCGAAAACCGAATATAACGAAACCGTTGTTCTTTCAGGATATGTTGGATGTTTAGGTTAAATTACGTTAAGTCAGGTTTAATAGGAAAAACATTTTCCTCTCAAAATTACTTTCGAGGTTATAAAATTTCGAACAACCGTTATTTCTGGAAAATGTCATTTTGGACTTCTGATACGTAACCAGGAAAAATCTATCTAAATACGCGCTTAGAGATAATACTTTCTATGCCGTGTTCATTCGAGCGGAACCAAATGCGCTAGGGTTGTACAAGGATTGTAATGTAAATGAAAGGCTTGTCTGAGACTTTGAAATTACCATTATTTTATTTAGTAAAGTGATGAGAGAACGACTGTCTCTCAATCAGACCAACCAAATACTAACCTTGTAACTTACATTCTTAGGAATTTGATGGCATAATTTTTTTTTCGGTTCACTAATCGGGTTACAATTCGGTTGTAAACTTAAAGTATTTCATTATTATTATTAAGTTACTTAATATAATAATAATAACGCACACACTCAACATAGCCCCGCACTAGGGAAACCCTGTGTCGCGGGTGCTATGGACACACACATAGACAACCACAAATTACACCTAAACTCACGAGAGAAATAAATGTAGGCCATATAAATATTTCTCCCGGCCCGGGAATCGAACCTGGGACCTCTGCGTGGCAGTCCGGCATGGTAACCGTTCGGCCACGGAGGCAGTCAAATTAACATAGTGATACGTTAAAAATGTACCCTACAAGCTGCTGAATCAAATAAGGGTATAAGCCGTTGTTCATCCCTTTATATGAGTAATTAATAGATTCAGGCGTTACTTTGCGGCCCATTAAGTCACCGCGAACCCAGTGAATGAAAATCAAAGAGTCTTCCGCTTTGCGTTGCGAAGAAACATGCGCGCATGCGCGGCACCTTGCCTTTGTTGGAGTTGTTTCGAAGCTCTTGAAGCGGCTGCTGCTCTGTGATTGACCAGTGGTGCTGTCCTCCGCAAACGTAATTTGTTGCTTGCGTAGAAATATCAAGCTTGCTAGATATCAAACTCACGCAACGCAAAAAAATCGCCTCGTGCGACTCGTGAACAGTCCCACCAGCGCGTTCGTGACAGATGTTAGCGTATGCGCGAACCCGGTCACGCAAGCAAGCGAAAGACTCGAGAGCCGTGAACTCGTGAATAAGTACATACAAGTGCTGACGGAAAAACTGTAGTAGCACAAACGATAGGTAAAAGAGATAGGACAGTCCCTAACAGTGCAGTGCCACTCAGAGCTTTAAATAGCAAAGATCTGAGGGGCACTGTCACTGCGCTCGTCACCCTGAGACATAAGTTGATAAGTCCCATGTGTCTGTAATTTCACCAGCACCCAGAACACAATAATGCTGACATTACTGCTTGGCGGCAGAAATAGGTAAGGTGGCAGTGCTTCCCTGGACAAACACTTTAACAATTAGCTCTACTGCCACTAACTTAAACTATATTAAAGTCTGTTTAGATATTTATTTGAAGGTTTTTAAACATCAGTCAAAGAAAAATTCCAGACGTTTTAAAGGTTAGAGTTTATCCAATTTACGTAGCCGGTTACTCTGGTGAAACCGACGGCGAAGTTGCGCTGACAGCCCGCAGCAGAAACGAAGGACGCAACACCGATCTAAAAAAAGATAATAATGTTAATTTCTTTTTGTCAAAGGCTAATGTTGTAACAAATTTGCCGAATCCCATTCAACCTCTTGAAAGCGAGGACATCTTTTTAACCGACTTCAAAAAAGGAGGAGGTTCTCAATTCGACTGTGTGTTCTTTTTTGTTTTTTTTTTCTTTTGTATGTATGTTACGCGATAATTCCGGTATTTGTGAACTGATTTTCATGATTCTTTTTTTGTTGGAAAGGGAGTATTTCCATAGTGGTCCCATTTCATTTTGAAGATAATCATCCACCTCGAAGGGTGGCTGTTCACGCATGAAGATTCACTTTTATAAATAGCGCCTAACTTGAATTTAGGAGTAATTACTTTTAGCAATTATTTAGTTGATTTTGCTATATCTCCAATTCAAGGCGTTTTTCTCTCGATATACTTTGAGTAGTGTCGTAGTGAGAACCTATTTTTATTATCTCCAGTATCAAGTCCTATATAGTGGCGAACTAGGGGATATTTCAATAAAACTTAGCACATAGACGCAATTCCACGTACTTTTGAGGTCGGTTTTTTTAGTACTCTGTACTGAGATTATATTCTTGTCACTTCCAATTCCAGCCTTTTTGAGGACATCACTGATCTGATCAATGTAAGTCCTTCTGGGATGTCCTCTTAAAACCCTTCTATCCACATTCGCTTCATAAACCTGTTTGGTAATTCTTCTTACGTCCATCCGCTCTACATGCCTAAACCACTATAACTATCCTTTCTCTATTCTAGTCACAACATCCTCTTTCAAGCCACATCTTTCACGTATTATTCTATTCTTCACTCTATCACTCAATTTTATTCCACAAATTTTCCTCAACGATCCCATTTCCACTGCATTAATTCTACTTTCATGCTTCTTCTGCCATACCCAACTCTCACTACCAAACGTCAGTGTGGGAACCAGCAAAGCATTGTGTATGGACATGTGTGCTTTTTTAGATAAGATGTTGCTTCCCATTTACAAATACACACATCTGTATATTTGTAAAAATAAGCTAGGTGTTGTCAACATTTGGTTTTTTTATAATGCCTGATGATAAGCTACACGCCTGTACATAACAGTTGCGGTACTCAGAGCTATAACCGCTCACGCGATACATGCAGACGTAGACGCATACCACACCTAGAGGTGCCGGTGATGATTTTATACCAATTTATCGGATATCGAAGTTATAACAGGTAAAAGAACTAATATTAATTGCTATTTCGGTAACTACTCTAGCAAACCATAAAGTTTTTAATGCCTGGGTCTGTCATTTAAAAAAATAAACAACTTCAAAAATACGTCACGACAATCGTGTGTGTTATTGTTTGGGCTGGTCATTTCGGTGTTTATTTATTGAAAACATACCGTAAGTAGCGGTTTTTAAGTTTACCCTGAATATAAATGTTTATAAACTATACTTTAAGGAGTAATTTCATGGTAAACGTTAGAACCACTCAAACGGAATATTATCATATTTATCCAAGTACACCAAAAATTTCATTAGTGCTTTTTAAGTGCAGGATTTGCGGTGTATTACTGCATTTTATTTGAGATGTTTTTGTTGGTAGTACGGACGGTATTTATTTAGCAATGCAGAATAATAATTTTTATTCATAAAAACTTGTATTTAAACTGAATCGTTTTCTAATTTGCGAAACCAAATGGCCGCCATTTTGCGGTAGGAGGAGCGCATCGCGTGAGCGGTTAAATCGCAAAGATATGATATGCCTGTAATTGCATCAGCTACCACCCTTCGAAACCAAGGCTCACATTAGTTCTTGGCGGCAGAAAGAGGTAAGGTGACAGTACTTCTCGAACGAACTCTTTCTTAAGTAGCTCTACTGCTGCTATTTGTGTGAGACCATAGGGACACAACTCAATATTGCATTTGAGTGCACCTGTTTGTAGTATTACCCCGCCCCTCTAAAGCGGCTGAAAGTTTTGTACGAGAAATAGTTGGAGTAAATTTGTTATCAATAAAGATACAATGTCAAGGGATAATATGATCGCATTGAGTATATAACCAGAAATAGAGACGAAATAAGGGTCGTGCTTCACTGGCAACTCATCGGGCAAATGGGCCTTATATCAGTTTTAAATATCAACTCTCGTTTGCGCTGAAATCACTAATTAGAAAGCTGAAATAGTACAGCGTCAACAACTGACCATTTGTGTACATCTCCTTATATTCCAAAAATATTCTATATTCATTGTAATAAAGATAACAAGGGCGTCTCTAACAATGGGGTGCTGTTCTATTCGGTGGTGTAGGAAAAACAGCAAAACATCTGATTGCAATACAGACGGAATCACATTTCATCGGTAATTAAATATGAAATATGTAATTTTGCAATTTTCCTCCATTATAGCAAAGCTCAAGTTAAATTGGTCGTTTTGAAGTGAAACAGTTGACGACACCCGTCAATTGTTTCGAATTCGGGCTGGCCAATCGGAGCGCAGTTGTCACCGCAATGATTTGGCGGAATAGTTTTCAAACAAATTAAATGACATTTCGTCTCCATTTCTGGTTACATACTCGATGTATGGTCGTCACTAACGCAAACAATAATAATGAATATGTAAATAAAGTAGTATAAACTACTGCTTGTCTAAATAGACCGAAGTTAAGTAAAACAAAATTACATTTGTTAAATTACAATTTTTTCAAAAGCCAAGGTTAGTAGAAAAAACTTACAAATTTTTAAGTAAGTTTCTTACCAACGTATTGTTAGTGACCAATCCACCACCAGAGTCACCACCACACGTGCTCCTGCCTATGTCGTGGGTGCATAGTGTTGTGTTCACTACAATTGACGGCGAGAAGTAATATTGGCAGTACTCATTGGAAACTACTGTGAGATTTACTTGATGTAGTTGTTGATCCATTGAAATACCAGAAACTGGAATAAAACATAAAAAAATAGGAAGAAAGAAAGAAAAATAATTAATTTCAATAAGAAAGAAGATATCCATAATATTAAACCTTAGAACTAAGTTTAAACTCATGGTACCACGATTTCGTTTAACCAAGGTAAACGACTCTTTTATGGGGGATATTTATTTATTTATTTTATTTTTATTCATTTATTAAACTTTATTGACCACAATACAAAGAAAGAAAATGTGTAGGAAGACACTTGCTTATGAACAACAGATTCTAGAATTTTAGACAGGAAAGGAAGAATAGAGATAGGCCTAAAGTTATTAAGTTGTATAGGAGAAGATATTTTTGGCAAAGGTATAATAAATGCCTTACGCCAGGCACGAGGGAAATCACCATACTGCAAGGAGAAGTTGATGATATGGACAATAGCAGGGAGAATTTGATCAACAATGCTGACAATCATCACTCTGCTCACCTCGTCACATCCTACGGCTTTAGACTTAATAGAAAAAATTATTTTACGCAAATCGTCAGCTGTAACTGGTGAAAAAGAGAAAGAAACTGAAGAAGAAATGGGCCTGGAAGCAATAAGTCGAATAGTGTTCGCCTTAATGAAGGGATCTAAAGAAGGAGCAGACGAGAAAAGGCAGTTGAAGTCGTTAGGAGCAAAAGGGTAGGAGTCAGGTTGAGCAGAACATTTGCCTAAGCCAAGAGTTCTGAGAAACTTCCAGACATTAGCAGGAGAACAATTACTTACATTATTATAAAAATATTGACGCTTAGCTGCCCTCACCATCCCATTACACCTATTACGAGCAGCCTTGTACAGAGTCCAATTACAATCCGACCTATCGCGCTTGTAAACCCGAAACAATCGATCACGTCTAGTCATAGCCATACGAATGCCCCTGTTAATCCAAGGAGCAGGAGGCCGCTTAACCCTAACAGCCCGTAGTGGGGCATGAGCATCGTACAAATTGATCAAACACTGGTTAAGGTTGGAGATTTTCAAATCAACTGACGAAGCACCATACACCCCAGAGAAATCAAGGTCAGCGGCATCCTTCCTCAGCATGTGATGGTCAAGTCGACCAAAATTACGCATCCATACCAAAGGGTTTTAACTTTCGGTGGCCTTAATCGGTATTGCATGTAGATAAGGTCGTGCTTTGAAAATCCAGGAGCAAGCAACTGACCATGACCAGCAACGAAGTCAGGAGAGGTTATGATTAAGTCAAGCTGTGTATCATTATAAGAGGGGTTATGATGAGTAGGCTCAGATAGCAAGATTGAAAAGTTCACAGACTTGACAATATTAAGAAGCTTAGTGGATTGCGGAGTGTTAGACAGAAGATCCGTATTGAAGTCACCCATAATTATGTGATGTCTGTAATCAGTGCAAAGTGGTTCAAGAACGGACTCAATATTAAGATTATCATTTCCTAAGTTTAAAACTTACATTGAAATGTCATATTACAAAATTGAAGACTTCTTGTTAGATAAAGATTCCACACAAATTTGATTCGAAGTATATTCCATAGCATTTAAGTTTATTTAAAAAGAGCAATCCCTAGACTCTAGGGCCTAGAGTTTCTTGCTCGTTCTAATCAGGGAGGTCAGCGTAGTGAACGAGCAGTAACTTAAATGTGACGTTTTCAAGTGTACATTTATTTTGTCTTTGGAATCTAGTCAGCTGCTGGTAGATGTAAAGGTACCAGATTGAGTGAAGGAATAGATTTCTTACAGATGGCGTTACGGCAAACATGTCATACATAGAAATATTCGTTCCATACCTCAGTTGGGATAGCGTTAGACACGGTATACTGAATTAGCAGGTTCAAATCAAATTCAGGTTCAAAAAAAAAAAAATAAAGATCTGCGAGAGCATCAGTTAAGACCACAGACGACCCAGGACAGACCGTCTCGAAGCGCCGACCCCAAATAAATGGGAATAAGACCAAGTAAATGAAGAAGGTGGCTGTGTTTTTGTGAAGTGGTGAATTCCCTTGATGTAACCGAGGAAACGTGCGAAGTTCTAACACTGAGTAGAACGTTGAGCAAGTCTGTTTAGATTTGTTATGTCAATGGCATTGTTGAGTCGAATAGGCGGGAGTTGGCCTACTTGCTACTACTTGATATAATGTACTCTAAGGGTCGTAGCCATGGGTTAGCGTAGCGAGAGGCACATTTCAATGAGAAATTAGGCTTATATTTATGAATAAAGATTTACAACGTGCATTCAATTCGAAGCTTATTCTAGAACCCCCGGATATTCTTTTTTTACAATACTCTATTTTATTATATAATTCTAAATACAAACCATTGACTTACAAATAAATGGACGACGGGTCTAATACAAAAACCACGAAAAAAATGCCGCAAGTCAACCTATTTAAACGTAGTGACATGTAAAGGAATATGAAAAAGCTAAAACGTTGAATTTAAATTGTAATGTCATCGCAGTACTGTCTAATTTTGCTTGCTTCGGTGTCAGTCGAACAAACGAAGACTAAAGCGTGAATGACGCTCTCTATACGATTTTAACGCCCTATAAGTTCGGACACTTTTTAGCGCGGACCCGACGTCTATGTAATTGTAAGTCAATGATACAAACCCATATATATTCAGCTAGTTCTAATACAAATCACACAGCCAAGTCTACAGTACTACGTATGTAGCTTCACCATCACCCTTGCCCTTACGTCGTAATGCTCACATCACTGTTTGGTTGGTGGCAATACTTACACGGACGAACTCTTTAGCAAGGAGCTCTACGGACACTAAATATGTACTTACTCAGTTTTAGTCAACTTACGATCACTTTGTCGTCCATATCCAGCAATTCTGCCAATGGCACCAGTGAAGTGGCTGTTTAGCGCATCACCCGATGGCAATGCGATGTTTCTGACGTGAACTGGAAAGATAAGTATTGTATTTATAAGACGTCATAATGTAAGAGGCCCAATTTGACAGCTTGATATGTAACTTTGAATGCAATCAACGAAAGAGTAAACAAACAATTATTAACTTCAAATCGATCTTTGTATTAATAAGTATAACAAACTAGTGGAGTAATTTCACAAAAAACTAACTATTTGTCTAACTGAGTGTCGAAATGCTTTCATAGATTTCTCATAGATGGCGCTACGGTTAAAAAGTAGTTAACAACCAGATACAAAGATCCAACAACAAGCATATAGAAACATTCGTCAGGTCCGCTGGTTCGTTTCGTGTCGGTTCGAATCCGGCCGGAACGAAGGAATTTTTTCTGAGTGTTCGATCTTTGTATTATTAATTATAACAAACTAATGGAGTAATTTCACAAAAAATAATTGGTTTAGCATTGGGCAACACTACGGATTATTGGGATGCAGATTCAGACTCCAACACGAAATTGCGGACAAATTGCTTGAAAACCAGCAATATGGGGTGGCAGAGCGTTCCAGAGTCGTATTGCTTGAAGATTAAATGAGGTAGAAACAAAATCAGTATGCTGAGAAGGAATGAAAGAAGTACATTTCGTCAGGGATAGTGCAATTACGCGTAACTAGCATTGGATTATGAGATTCCATTTCGGTAGTGGCCAAATCCGCGTAAATGTAGTGGTAACGAAATTTGCGTGATTTACGGGAATCTATTGTTATCAGTCCGTAGATAACATATATATAGTAATAACGTTAAATCCCTCTCCTGGGATATATAATGGAATGGAATAGGACAAGTAAACGACATCAATTACAGAAGCTAGTTGTTTATTTATTTTAGTATTATTATGCCTCAGACATCGGTCTTATTATTATTAATTTTTGTTATTTTATATTGTTTAAGAGCACGCTGCATACTGCAATAATTCTATTCTAAGTTGGCTCTCAACGCTGTGGCTCTGCCCAACGTTAAGCTGAGCTGGTTGTTATGTGTTTATTTACATTATTTGATGTATATTTGTTTCTATAATAATGTTTCTTTCTTTCTTTCTTTTTCCTGTAAAATTTGGTTTCGTGTAGTCAGAGAACAAAAAAGTAACGTGCAGTTACGCGCCTACATACTACAGGCGCGGATTTGCATTATCCCCGACGAATTGCTGTTTGCTGCAAATATAAACTATAGCGAAATGTACTTACGGGTGTATTCAGTAAATGGGATGGTCAATATTGCGATATCGTTGTGCAAGTTAATGGGATTGAAGCTGGGGAACACCTATGACAAATTAATGCTTGTTAGTGCTGTTAAATTAAAATTCGTACCTATAGCTATACTGGTTTGCTAAGTCGAAAGGCGCTATCTTTGAGATACGCCCTTTTAGTTTTTTTTATACCATTCAACAGCTATAATAATGTCGCATCTAATGGTGTAATAGAAATTGCGTTAACTTAATAAAACATTTAAAAAAGCACTAAGAAGTATTTATATACATATATCAATTTTTCCTTAAATTACTAATAGATTTGGCGGCTTTCTTTATAATCCAAATGGCGGTATCTCACAAAATAGGTATAATGGTACATACGTATAAATAAGTTTTAACAACCTCAAAAAGATTTATTTTTGAAGGTGCGAAAATACAATTTACAAAAAGTGGATTTTCTCAAAACTTTCTCCTATTGAGATAGCGCTTTTCGCGTATCAGGGCAGTATAATAAAATTACATTAATTTTGAACCGAAGTTTTCTAGCAAACCGTGCCAAACTCTATGCCACCTAAGTAATTTCGCAAAAAAATATTTGAATATCAATTCAATACAAAGAACAATGGCAAAATCATATTTAAAAGAAACTCTAATGACTAATTCTTATGTCACCGGACTGATATCTACATCTGTCAGTTTCTTCGTTGCTTAACGTTAAGCGACATCTAGCCGCCAAAAAAGGAATTTCAGTACCTACGTATGGATATGGTTCACATTTAGTTCACATAATTTCAAATGTACTGTTTCGACGGATTTATAATAAACTAATAAAAGATCTAAGAGAACTAATTCATTACAAAAAATAAAGTAGTCAATTTCTTCTCCAAAACGCATCGCGACAAAATGGTAAAACTGACCAAAAAGTTCCCAAAATCAGCGATAGATGGCACGTTTCACAAAAAAAGTAATTTGTGTCCGAGTTACCAGTGCAATACTCTGTGGTATGTTATTAATTAACTCACTTTTTTTGTTACGCCTTTTGACCATACCAGTATACAAAATAATTTCCTCTGAACTTTGGTCACGTCACAAACCCACGGCACTATTCTGATTCTATTAAATATTTTTAAGGATTCTGTAGTTTATTTTGATACAATAATACACAGAATGGATTTTATTCAATTACGTAACACAATATAACCTCCAAACCTTCAAACTGGAATATTTTTATTTACAGACTTCTCAGAATGGTAAACCCAATACAAAATTTGTTCAAGAATTTCAACTCTTTATTTTCACATATTTTTCAAAAACAGACCCATACAAATTATGTCACCAAAAATTTATATGGGAGTTTGCCATTGTCCTTTATGTCATAGTTTATTTTAACTAACCAAAGAACCCATAGTGGATATCCTAAGTCCGCCAGAGAAAAGTTTTTGTGAACCCAAAACCACAATAGCAAAACTAGCAGTGTCCCGGCCATCGAACCAGCAATGAGCTGCCGTGAGAACTTTGGTGTTTGACAGCAACGAAGACCCGCAGACTGAGACCAAGCTGGACCACCTTAAGGTAATGAGTAGACCGCCCTGAGAAAAACGAAAATTAAGTTACATGAAAGGTAAATGGTAGATCTTGGTAATATACATATCGCACTGCTATCACAATAGTGTTGTAACTCAAAATATGTGAAATTTAACATTTATTTATTAACCGATTTCAAAAAAGTAGGAGGTTCTCAATTCGACTGTATGTTTTTTTTGTATGTATGTTACGCGATAACTCGCATTTGTGCACCGATTTTGGTGATTCTTTTTTTGTTGGAAACAGGGTACCTCCATAGTGGTCCCATTTCGTTCTGAAGAAAATCATGCACCTCTGAGGATAGCTGTTCACTCATGAAAACTCATTTTTATAAATAGCGCCTAATTTTATTATAAGGAGCAATTATTTTAATGATTGATTTTGCTATTCTCCAATTCAAGGCGTTTTTCTCTCAATATATTATCTACTTTAAACAGAGAGAATCGAATTTGACTTACAATTATATGGACGTCGGGTCCGCGCTAAAAAGTGTCCGAACTTATAGGGCGTTAAAATCGTATACAGAGCGTCATTCACGCTTTAGTCTTCGTTTCTTCGACTGACAGCGAAGCAAGCAAAATTAAACAGTACTGCGATGACATTACAATTTAAATTCAACGTTTTAGCTTTTTCATATTCCTTTACATGTCACTACGTTTAAATAGGTTGACTTGGGACATTTTTTCGTGGTTTTTGTATTAGACCTGTCGTCCATTTATTTGTAAGTCAATGTCTCCTGTGTTAAGTCCCGTACATGATCGTAGACCGAAAGCCGGGATGAATCCGGGTTTGCGCACTTTCCGATGATTGATTTCCGAGGTCGGTTTTTTTAGTACTCTGTACTGAGATTATTATTCGTGTATTAATTCAAAAAGTGTATTTTAGAATCGATGAAAAACGAATTACCCCCTTCTTGTGAAAGGTTATTAAAATGTATGTACTCGTATAAGTCAAAGTTTATTACAGATATCTAAATATTTTCCTACTTACCAAATATATTTGCAAATAAAAAGGAAAAAATAATGTAATATTTTTGAGTAAGGACTGTTTTGTCCAGAACTAGCTCACGAAAAGTTTGTCTCATTTTGAGTTAAGTAGATTATGTTTTAATTGTCTCTAACAATATTCTAAGGACGGTTTTACTGACGTGTAGAGATGGAAATTTTACGTTCAGAAATAGTATAATCTTGAATTTCACATATTTTGAGTTACAACACTATTGTAATCGCATTGCGATATCATTACTGTCAAAAAGACTGTCGTTAAAATATTGTAAGAAATAATCAAAAGATATCAAAATGAGACATTTTATGTGAGCTAGTTCTGGTCAAAATAATCCTAATCCAGAAATTGTTTACGTGTCTATAATTAACTATAACGTACATAAATTTTAATGATTTTTGCGGGAAGCGACTAATTCGTTTTTCATCGATTCTGAGAAAGTCCATTTTTTGAGTTAATACACTATTGTATTAACAGTGCGATATATATCAGAATTAGATTGAAAAAGCAAAAGTAGGTACAACCTGCTTGAAAAAATATATGTTGTGTGAGGTTTTCATAGCAACATAGAAATGAGACTCCAGTGACTGTTATAAATTATAAGATCTTTCACTGTAAATCCAAACAAAATAAAACCACGTCTCTTCTAGACAAAGAGTTTTTTTTGTAACATCACGTGATTGGACAATAAAGTCCTGCGCCTGATGGTAAGCTATGTAGCATCCAGTATATAACCAAAAATAGAGACGAAATAAGGGCCACCTATCCCAAAATATCAGGCAAACGAGTCTTATATCACTTTTAAATATCAACTCTCGTTTGCACTGAAATCTAACAAATAAAAAGCTGAAATAGTACAGCGTTATTTCGAATTCAAGCTGGCCAATCGGAGCGCAGTTGTCACCGTAATGATATGGCAGAATAATTTTCATACAAATCAAGTCTCTATTTCTGGTCATATACTCGATGGCTACACGTCTATCTATAACAGTTGCAGTGCCACTCAGAGCTTTAAATTACAAAGATCTTTGAGGCACTGGCACCACGCCCGTCATCCTGAGACTTAAGTTGACAAGTCTCAAGTGCCTGTAATTTCACCAGCACCCTTACCCTTCAAAACCGGAATAAAGTAAAGCTGACATTACTGCTTGGCGGTAGAAATAGGTAAGGTGGCAGTACTTGCCTGGACAAACTCTCTTAAGTGATGTAAATGATAAAGCAAAAAAAATTCTACTCACAAACCAAGGGTTATCCATCAAAGTGGCTGGCGATCCTCCAATGATTCTATTACCACTGAAATCAGAAGATTCTTCACTTCTCTTAATCGCAGCCGCCATCGGAATACCTGAGAATATAATAATCAACTATTTACTTGTATAATATAATATATGCCAAAAAAACCACATCAATTATTAGTTCTTTCTTTTCTCCTTTCGCGCTTCTCATAGATGCCTTAATGGATGGTCTCTGCTAAATTATTTCATGACCGTGAGACCATAGCTCCTATTAGAGAAGTTGAAATTCAGTGTTGTGAAAAGCAAGTTTTGCACAGCATAATATACCGAGCGATATTTTTACCTAAACAGCGTTTTTTTATTGCAAACGATATTTTAAACCATAACGGACAAGGATGCGTCGACATTTCCCTCTAAAATTACATTCAATAAAAATTATAGCAAAAGATAAGTTTCGGTCATTCTCATATTCGTTGTCCTCAGCCTAATTACCGTAGCCATTGTTTTTTCTCGCTTAATATACCTACCCCATAACATTTGAATATGATTAGATTTAAGTACCGTAGCCGGAATATGGTATTATTAGAAAGTTTGAACATTAAAAAAAAAACTATTTCTGACACAGCTGAATTATTATTTGTATATTTTGCTACATTTGCTTTATTTCTACTGATACAAGTGCCATTCAAGATTTTTTTAAACAAATTTAAAGTATATTCCTTAATATTTGGTTAGTAGTAATTATTAGAAATTGTTTCAATTCTTTCTGCCGACAAAAAAATCTTAAAATTAAAAACAAAATATTCTCAACCGGCGGAATTCATTGCAAAAAGTGAAGAAAATTAAAATCTAAGTTATTTATATGTTATTTATAATTTTTGTTTTTATGTTTTCTTAAAAATTTTAATTACAATGTTTAAGAATTTGTAATTCCCGTGTCCATAAAATATTTGTGTCTGAATAACTGGAAAACTACTTTGTCTATTCCAATACCATTTAAACATATTGATAGTTAAGCTTAAAGTTGTTCTTATTTCAGTGTTACTGGGTATACGTGAGGCGCACTATAAGTTTCCGGAATGAATAAAAAAATACTATAAATGGTCAGAATCCGGATGGCTCATAACGTCAATGGTGTTCATCTTCAAAAATTCATTTGTCTGTCTGGCCTTGTGAGAACTGGCATTATCGTGGTGCAAGATGATACGGCGTTCATTCATTCATTCATTCACTATTCACGGCACAACGATTCTCCAAAGTGTCAAGTTTTTAAAAAAAAGAACATTCATCCGCTTGGAGACACTTTGCACGCGCGCCACTTTGATTGGTTTCGGCTCATCTCGAAAGACCCATACGCTCGATTGCTTTACTTTCGGATCGTAACTATAAATCCATGTTTCGTCACCTGTTACTATGTCCCACTCGAAATTTGACCTTCGTTGAATCTGGTACGCATGACATTGCACCATCGGACGCGATCCGTTTTTTGAGCCTCAGTGAAATTGTGTTTGATCCACCGAGAGCACAGCTTTTGCACACCCAAATGTTTGTGTAGTATTAGGTTATATTTTGAATCATGCATAGGCATGAGTGCCTAAGGATGCCTGAATCTCATGGTATGTCACATGCCTGTCTGTTTTGATCATACGGCGCACAGCATCGATGTTTTTGTTGTTCACAGCAGTGGACGGGCGACCATCACGAAATTCGTCACTGAGATTCACACGATCGCGTTTGAATTCTGCAAACCAGCTGTAAATAGTCGTCTTGCATGGTGCTTCATCGCCAAAAGCAGTTTGAAGCTAAGCGAAGCTCCGCTGAGCTGTTATGTTACACTTAAAGTCGTAGAAAACCATACTACGAAAATTTTCACGAGTTAAATCCATGGTGATGTAAACAACTAATTTCTAAAATGACGCCACAATGTAAAAACAAGTGACAGTCAGATCAATCAAACTGTATCCTACAGCCAAAGAGTTCCACTTTCAAATGTTATAATTACTTTTTAAATATTGTTTATGTAAGAGGCCAGTTCCGGAAACTTATAGTGCGCCCTATGTATTAAGCGAGAAAAAAACAATGGCTACAGTAAGTAGGCTCAGGACACCGAAATGGCTACGGTAATTAGGCTGAGAACACCGTATGTGAGTATGGCTGGTTTATCGTTAGCTAAACTATCCTAGCCCTATGTTGTGGGATTTTGCTTCCACATTTATAACATGGCGAGCGGCTAGGGAGTGGAATTCCCTACTTGCGGACTTGCTCCCCGAACGCTATAACCTGGACCTTTCCAAGGCGAGAGTGAATAGGTATTATTTAGGTGAGCATGTTATATCGTTGACCTCATTATCACTTGCCATAAGGTGAGATGGAGGTCAAACGCGCAGTTACTTAACTGCCTCCGTGGCCGAACGGTTACCATGCCGGACTGCCACGCAGAGGTCCCAGGTTCGATTCCCGGACCGGGGGAAATGTTTGTATGGCTTACATTTATTTCTCTCGTGAGTTTGGGTGTAATTTGTGGTTGTCTATGTGTGTGTCCATGGCACCCGCGACACAGGGTTTCCCTAGTGCGGGGCTATGTTGAGTGTGTGCGTTATTTAAAAAAAAGTTATTTATTTAGTTACTTTTTTTATAAAAAAACTTAAAAAAACTGGCTTTAAAACGTCATCTCTATTTTGAATGGCGACTGATCAGGCCAGCAAACTCGGTTTAGGATGAAATAGGACTATAAATTCTAAGTATTCCGTCGTAGAAGGGACTTTCGCCATTTATCACTTCTGTACTCTGTTCCCTTTGATCCCACCTCTCCTCCCTACCTCAGAGATTGCTTCGTGTACCTCACGGTCTTTTCTTACTCTTTCTTTAAACTGTCCTATCCATCCTTCTAACTTCTATTCCAACTCCTTCAAGGTTAGAAGCATTAAGCTGTGGAATTCTTTGCCTGAATCAATCAGACGCGCTAAGTCTGTTGAGTATTTAAAAACTATACCCATTATCTTACACTCTAATTATTATTATTTTCTCCTATTTTTACCTGTTTCAGATCGTCCGTGTTGTTATTATTATGTTCTATATAATCCTACTTAATTTTCTGCAATCATTTGTATTTTTTTTTTGTTATTTATTTATTTAATTTTTTTATTACTATTACGACATCTGTTTTAAATTATTTCTATTATTTTTTTTCTTTTTTTATTCACTTGTGTATGTGCAATGTGTGTTTTAATTACGAATTCTGTTGCGCCCTCAATTAATCATTATCTCAATTTTTCCTGTAACCCGAAGGTTGCCTGGACGAGATTGCCATATAGCAATAAGGCCGCATGTTGTACCAGTCTTTTTAAGTTTTTCTATTATTTTGTATTTGTCTTAGTGTGCAATAAAGAATATTTGAATTGTATTCCAGTTACCAGGGCCCCATACCAACTTCGCCTGCATGCGGTGCACCCCGCACATAGCGAAAGGGGCTCTGGCCATAGTTTAAACAGAGTATTCCCAAAGAGTGCAAACGTTACGCAGGCGGCCGGTCATAAAACACCATGCTAAATCCATTTACAACGCGTATTCACATAAAATACATGTCGTGCCGATCTCACATAGCATGGGATAAGGGCAGGAAGAAGAAGAAGATTAGTTGCGCCAACTTTTGTAATAGGAAGCTAGTATTGACGAATCCCAGAGCTGATCTTTAATTAGAAATATCAATGTAACATTTGTATTAACATGGAATAAATGAATTAATGTTCAGACATAGGTAGTTACTTGCAAGTGCAGTTACTCGTAGTTCAAGCACCTTTTAATGTAATTAAAAATCGCAAAAATACAGTACAGTACTTATCGGTGTTATTACACATATTCATTTCTCACTATTACCTGTTCTTATGCTAAGGAATGACCTTTTCCTTGTTTTTGTTTGAGTCAATGACAAAGTCAGGTTGGTATCCCAATTCACCGTGTTGTCTCTACATCGGCCAATTTGTGAGACTATTCAGGAACTTCCATACTGACCAGTACTACTCGTGTCCGAGGTGGAAGACTTTTGGCTGGGATGATGAAATCAATAGAAAAAGGGAGTTCGGCTTGCGCCAGCATTCGTGGCCTACCTACTATTACACAGAGGTATGCCGAAGGAAGCTCTTACGGTTTAATAGTCGTGCTGGTGTACACTCTGGTGCTGACTTGTGGCCCAATAAAGGGTGCCTATGAGAATTAGGGTGCACATAATATACAGGATAGGTAAATACACACAGAAGGTGATTAGGATTGGAAATATTTATTTAATTATTCAGATTTAGCTTTATAAAGTTACCAAGTACTAAGTTCGCGAAACAAGCGCTATCACAAATGTGTTTGCAAAGATCGGGGGCAGGCTGAAAATCAGGGCCGACTTCGGCCGCTCAGTAAATGCTGAGACTGTCCCCCACACAGATATTATTACATACATTTATTTTTGCATTTAATAATAATTATCTTTTAAGTTTAATTTTGTTACGTAATTAATGTGTGTACTACGCGGTAAAAACAGATTACTTAGAAAAAGACAAAGTTCTTTTTATGAAGACAAATTTATTAGATCCAACAAAACGATCGACACTAGAGAATAATTAGGTACTTGATAATAGTAAAAAACGTCTCAAAAGTGTATTTTAGTTACAAGACAGAAATATTTAATCCAAGAGCAAATTAATTTACCTGATTCAACAAAATATTTATTAGTTATTAGAAATGTCAGATTTTGACTTGAAAAGAAAAAGAATGAAAAATTGAGAGGTACTTAATTATTTGACTGAAGATTTAGGTTTTCTAATAACAAAAAGGGTAATTTTACAGGGTTATGGACCCAACAGTATGTCTCACTGGCATGAAAGCACACAGTTCAGTGCCAAATAGAGATGGACGTTGAATGGACGAGCTAGTCGAATCAACCGTCCACGTCCACATTCTTCGGTTAACTAATAGAATTCGTAGACGGCTAAACGGAGAGTCCACGCGTTAATCAACGCTCTGCGTCACGAGACGACGCGCGAACTCAGTCGAATTATACATAGACTTACATAGACAAATTATTTTGAACATTAAATTCAGTAGGTGTAAGTTGATATTTGAATATGTGCGACGAAGTAAGATAGGTCTGTTATGCTATTTATTATTGCAATAGTGCATTCAATATAGAAAAAGGATGACGGTGTAGTTAATTCGCTAGAGCAGAGAGAGGCGTTGCGCCCGTTGTGGCGCAATGCCCTTGAATCTATCGGAATTAAACTCTATTGCAGTATGTTAAAAGCGTCGATAGCCGCGCTCATGTTAAACATTGGAAATAAATTAATTTCTAAAACAATAGTAAATATTCTCAAAAGTTACTTTAGTTGATTCAGTTAAACTCGTCTCACGAACGAAAACCAACTTAAGTTGAATGATCGACTAGTCGACGAATTTAACTAGTTGATCGTCGACGATGGACGGTTGCGTTTCGTTAACGGAAAACGCGTCGACGACCCATCTCTAGTGCCAAACCTAAAGTAGTAGAAAAATAGGACGGAATCTCCTCAAATACTTGAGTACATTCAGTACCATATAAATGCTACAGCGTCAGAAAGCACTAACTTGGCACTAACAATTCCAAATATATGAGATGACTTTATACAAATGAAGTTAACAAAACGATAGCGCGTTTCAGAGTACAACTAATGCCATCTGGCTGTGGCGTGATGGAACTAATTGCATGTTAAAGTTGTGCTTGTTACAAGTATAATTTGATTTCATGCTGAAACCAAATTTCTTAAATTATGACTACAAATAACACACTAACAAACTAGAGACACTACGTATTGTTTCTTTGGATAAATGACTTTTTATGATTTTTATGATTACAAGCACAAGTAAAAGTAATCGTTACCGCGTGCGCCTTCGGCGACTTGTCACGACGATATTGACTATGAAAACGCAACGAAATGTTGCTTTAAAAATGTACTCTAGAATTTAGAATATTAATCTGAATAGCAAACTACTTCTTTTTTTGTTTAAGAATGTATTTTCTTAAAATACACCCAAGAAATTTTGAATTCATTTAAGATTATTTAAATTTGATGTACCTAAGAGGTAAAAATTTCTTGATGTAAGTAACGTCCAATTAATTGATTAGAAATGAAATAAAATCTTGAAGTGAACGTATTTGTCTCAAAGTTAGAATAAACTTAAGAGTAAAATTGTATTAGAAAAAGATAAGCAGTATTTTTGTAATGACAATATTTTATTACTTTTAATAAATATCTTTTCAGAATTAGCAAATATTTTGAGAAATTGCTCTTTCTTATTAGTAGAAATCCTTTTTTTTTTGTGTATGAGTGCTATAGTAATGGAGTTCCCTGCGGGCGCTACCCGCACACTACCCGCAACATCAGTTTTCTCGATTTTAATTTTTTTGTTTTTTTCTCTCTTGCTTTTGTTACCTCAGCTCGAATTTAAGTTGGGTGGGTCTTGGGTCGAGCGACAGGGAAAAATGTATATCGTATAGTATACGTGTTATAGTTCAGTTGATATAAAAAAAAATCATTGGTATATTACTTAATTTTTACCTAATTATTGGCAAAGTACCTATTGAATACAGCGGTTTTATTGTAAAATTTGGAGGTAAGTTTGTGTTTTTTCTATGGTGATAATGTTTGTTTTCACATTTTAAGCGTTGATCACATAAAAAGGTGAAGAGTCTTATCTCATTATTGCTGATGCTCGATGGATTGATGATGTTAATGACAAAATTAAAAAAATATCGTACATACATACCAGTCGTCTCATGGTAGTATAAATTTATGGGCTCATATTGCGGTTTAGACAGGGCTAGACCAAAGAGGCAGACAACGATGATCCACTTCATATTTCACAAATATAGGTGCAAGTAATGTAAAAAAAAATACCGCCACTTGAATAGCGGTGTACAATATAAAAATCACAGAGTGCAATTTCTTTTTTATACTTCCAGATTACAATATAATTTAGATTACCGTATGATATAAAAACGACTGATAAATGTTGTTTTTTCATTAGTCTTTATTATCTATATTTGTCATTTCCGTTACATGCACTTTATCTTTTTATCTGACTTTAAATGTCACAAGGTCAATATATAAGATGACTGCCAAGCTGAAATTGCACTGTGCTGAACACTCTCTCTATCTCACTCTCTCCGTCGGAGCTGAGAGAACCGAGAGAAAAGGCTTGTGACAATGCGACCTCCTCCATCGTCACCCACCTTTTTATCAACTGCCTCCGTGGCCGAACGGTTAACATGTCGGACTGAAACGCAGAGAAAAAAAAATTGTATGGCCTACATTTATTTCTCTCGTGAGTTTGGGTGTAATATGTGGTCATCTTTGTGTGTGTCCATGGCACCCACGACACAGGGTTTCCCTCATCGAGTATATAACCAGATATAGAGACGAAATGTGATTTAATTTGTTTGAAAACTATTCTGCCAAATCATTACGGCGACAACTGCGCTCCGATTGGCCAGCCCGAATTCGAAATAATTGGCGGGTGTCGTCTATTGTTTCACTTCAAATCGACTAGTTAACTTGAGCTTTGCTGTAATGGGTGAAAATTGCAAGATTACATATTTAACATTTATTTACCGATGATATTTGATACCGTTTATTTTGCAATTTGATGTTTTGCTGTTTTTCCCCACACCACCGAATGGAACAGCACGCCATTGTTAGAGATATTGTCTTTATTACAATAAATACAGAATATTTTTGGAATATACGGAGACGTACACACAAGTTTGTTGTTGGCGCTGTCTATATTTCAGTGCAAACGAGAGTTGATATTTATAAGTGACGTATCACTGATGAGTTGCCAGGTATGTATCGCCTTTGTTTCGTCTCTTTTTCTGGTTATATACTCGATAGTTTCCATAGTGCGGGGCTAAGTTGAGTGTGTGCATTATTATTATTTTATTTATTTTAAACTCTCGCCTCTCCCAAGGTCTAAAAGATTAATTTTGAATTTTTAAATGGGAGAGGCGGTATTTCCTGGCAATGGCACAGTCGGCCGGGGTCAGGGACTCAGGTCCAAGAATCGGCAAACAATACGTGCCGTATCGAGCAGGACCGCCTTCTGTATTTGTGCTGGAAGCGACACGCCATAGAAATCCAACCGCCTCAAGCTGTTAGAAAGGCTGACTGGAATTAAGCCATTTGCGGACAAAACAATTGGGATTATTTCAGTGGAGGCCACATCCCACATGTCGGTGATCTCATCAGGTCGAGATACTTCCGGCGTTTCTCGGTTTCAGCTTTCACGACACCCTCGTCATGCGTGATGGTGACGTTATTATTATTATTATTATTATTATTGTATTTATTTTAAACTCTCGCCTCTCCCAAGGCCTAAAAGATTAAGTTTGAATTTATCATTATCATTATCATTATCATTATCATTATCATTATCATTATCATCATCATCATCATCACCACCACCACCACCACCAACACCATCACCACCACCACCACCACCACCACCACCACCACCTCTCTCTGGTTCCTGGCCACTGATTTTCAAACTTTGAACCGTTCTTTAATTTCTTCGCCACATCATTCTAACTTCGTTTCGATTCATCGTCACTCTCAGTTTAATCTATGAGGCGAGCACTCCTGCTCGTCTTCACTGCTAATTTTGATCCGTTTACCAGTATCCATTTTTAGTCATGTGCCTATTTAATACCACTAAAATCTAGTAATGTTTGTAAAATACAGCCCTTCCGGGATAAGTCTGTCTCACAATTCATAGTATTTAAGTATGAAATGCTTTTTAATATCATTGCACCTTATTTTTATTACAGCCCTTTCTTCAACGTATACAATAAACTTATGTGAGCGAGTCTCTCTATTTTGTTGGTCCCTACTGGCGGTTTACAACCTTGCGCGCTTACAATAACAAGAAGAACAAGTACACCAGTCGTAAGCTTAGTGGCGCCACAATGAAAGAAAGAAACAACGGAAACCTGAGCAAGCAAAGGAGCCTAAGATTATAGAATCCTGAACGTAGCGAGGGTTTCAAGCCACGAGACGCAAAACAAATT